CAGGTGGCTTGGTGGTTAGACATGCTGTCCATGCTGCGATCCCTTTTCCACGCTTCTCTCAGGAATTTGAGCACATTCACACGCAGCCAGCGTGAATCTCAAGCCTCCAGGTCTGAGACTCGAACCGCAATCAGCCATGCAGAAGTTCAGCACCTTAACCACTATGCCACCTGCTGATGCCCCACAATTTGGTAACTTCTAATTGACCGCTAGACCTTGTGAATTTTACGTTGTTGAATGCTGGATTTAGTTTTGTTTTTAAAAAATACTGGGTGTTTTCTCTCAGGCACACGGCTGTGCTCACAGGCCTGGGTGTCAGGGAGCTCCGCTCTGCCTGGTGGGGCCAAGGATGGCTCTGCCTGGAGTTTGGGTGGTTCTTTCCTCACTCTAGAACCTTCTCACGTGTGTGCAGGTCGTACTTAGCCAGACACCGCGGGGACCCTCGGCCCCGTCCCTGTTGGCGCTCGTCCCTGGGTCTGGGCACCTGGCAGGTGTGAGCTCTGGGTCCCCTCCTGCGCTGTGGGCAGCGCGGCTCCAGGCAGGAAGGTGGTGCTGCCGTGGGCCTCTGCTCTTGGGTGGGTTTCGTGCTGAACGTTGCCACGTGTCCAGAAGCAGCTGCTCTGAACATCCCGTTTGGTGTGCTGCTCGTGTACAGCGGGACACTACTGTGACTTCAATGTCGCTAAAAATCCGTGTGTGGATATTTTGTCCTGATGGGGCCAAGGGGGTGGAAGCGTGACCTGACTGTGGTACTGGAAGGTGGGCCCTAGCCACAGGTCAGGGCAGGCCCTCAGGGTTGGAGCCCTCAGGCTGGAGAGTCCACGTAGAGGGCTGAGGCCACGGGTGCTTGTGCACCTGCAGTGCAGCCACTGCCCTTCTGCCCAGACCAGGTGCTTCCTGTCCTGGCTGTCGGAGGGAGACCCTGCAGGGCTGGACTCCCCGTGGCTCACAGGGCCCTGCCACCCTGCCTTTCACCCAGGCCTCTCTTGGCCAATAGTGATCGTTGTCCATATTATTACAGGTAACGAACTACTTCCAGAAAGCGTGGCAAAACAGGACTACGTCGCATTTATAAAACAGCCTGTGGGCAAGTCGTATAGTTACAGCGTTGGCTCTTCTGTGGAAGCACTGGCACAGTGTAGAATGTTCTCTCCATTTGCAAGATTCTACTTTTGTTTCTTTGGGGAGAGTTTTTGTTTTCACGTTTTGTTTTTTGTGTTTTGTTTGTTTTGTTTTGTTTTGTTTTTTGCCATTTCGTGCATGTGTTCACTAGGGAGAGAGACAGTCGGAGACAGAGGGAAAGTGAGACACTCCGTCCCGGGAAGTGGGGTGCCACAGTCCCTTCTCACGTTTCTGGCGTGATTTTCCAGTCGCTGAGTCCGGAACGCAAACCGCAGCCATGTGGGCGTCTGGTGCCTTAACCCCTGTGCCACCTGCCGGTGCCTTGGGGAGTTCTTCAAGTTGTCTGCATGCAGCTTCCGTGCGTGTCTTGCTCACGCCATGCATTTTGACTTTCCTTCTGTAAATTGTGAATATCGTCATCAGACCTCTCCGTGTACGTGAAGGCCATTGTTTTTGAGTGGTCACCTCGTGCCCTTGGGCTTACTAGGTCTTGCCAGTGTTTATGCTGTTCTTTTCTCGATTCTCTTAGGTTTTAAAACATGAGCCCTTGCTGTGAACCAGCAGAAGTGGCCGTCTGCACCGAGTCTCGGCTGCCCCGGCCCCTCTGCCGCGCCGGCAGGTGGCAGGCAGCTGGGGCCACTGCTCCAGGGGCGGCCGGTCTCTGTCCCACATGTACTTCTCCCCTGGGCTACTCACCCGCTTCTGACTTCCCTCCCTGTCAGGGGCGCTAGGCTGTTCTGTTCCCTGAATCTCTGGGAAATAAAAACTCTGAGGGAGGCAGCCGTGCCCCTCGGCCTTCTGGCTGAGCTGTGGCCCGTGCATACCCCTCACCACCCTGTCACCCAACAGGGGATTCGAAAGACAAGGTGTTTGTTTTTTTTTCTTTTTTTTGATAAATTTTAGGTTTTTGCCAGGGCCGGCAGGTGGCATGGTGGTTAAGTGCGCTAGACTCCCACATGGCGGACCGTGGTTCGCCTCCTGGACCTGGTGGCTTACTTTCTCACTCTCCTTTTCTCTCTTTCTCTCACTCAGTTCCTCTCTGGTCAAATCAAAAGAAATAAATAAATAAAGTTAAATAAAATAATTATTAAAAAAAAATTTAGGTTTTTGTCATAGGGCATGTGTGCTCGTTGGAGGGAGACCAAAGGAAAGTGAGAAATGTCTCCCCGGGAGGCACAGCTCCACCGCACCCCTTCTCCCCTTCTCCACTCAGGGTTTTGGGCATGCACACACCCTCGGCTTGACTCTTAAGCTGCTGGGTCCGGGGCCGTCTGGGGTCAGCTCTGCAGGATCCAGAGTTCTAACCCTCGTGCCGCTGCTCACCCTGAAAAGATGATTTTTAAGGACCCAATATTTAACGGTTGTCATGGTGATGATCTGGAGTGTCAGAACTGACGTAACGCAAACCCCAGCATCTCAGCAGTTCATGAAGGACGGGGGTGCTTCCTGTTCACGAGGAGCCTCCCACCCATGGCCCTGGACAGGCTGTGTGGGCCCGAGCCAGTCCTCATGTGGCCACGGGCCCTGTGTGGGCCCGAGCCTGTCCTCATGTGGCCACGGGCCCTGGGGTGGGCAGGGTGCGTGCCTCCTGCTCACAGTAGAGTGGCCTGAGCTCCAGGTGGCACATCTGCAGGAAGCTCGCCTGGGTACCCAGAGGGCGAGAGGTAAGCCAAGGGCCTCGAGGCGACGTCAGCGCCAGCTGGCGCCACCCTGTGGGTCTGAGGCCAGCCCGGGCGCGGGGAAGTGGCCTCAGCTCTGAGCGCAAGCGCTGCACAGCCCGTGCCTGGTGCTCCACTCCCGAAGAGACCGCGTTTCACACTTAGCCACTACGTTCACCAGGCAGTCAGTGGGAAAGAAACAGTGGCTCAAACTGGTCAGCCAGTGGCACAGCGGCAAGGTGCTGGACTCCCACATGGCCGGCTGCAGTTCAGGTCGACCTGGCGGCCTGCTTTCTCACTTGCCTCCTCTCTCTCTCTCTCGTTCATCAAATTAAAAAATAAATAAGAAAATTAAATAATTTTTAAAAACCTAATCAGTCTAATAGCTAGAATATACATTTTAATTAATTGGAGGTGGAAATATGGGGGGTTTTTTTGGTTTTTTTTTTGGAGAGGTTTTTGCTATGGGGAGTGTACGCTCACCAGAAAGACAGCCAGAGACAGAGAGAAAGAAAGCGAGAAATCACCGCCCAGGGGATGGCCACACCACAATCCCTTCTCCTCCATTCTCCTCTCGGGATCTTGGGCATGCTTGCACATGTGCCCAGTGTGAGTTTTTGTGTTTAGTTTTGTTTTTTTAAGATAAATATTTGCTATATGGCATGTGCGCTCGCTGGAGAGACAGACAGAAAGTGAGAAATCACCTCCCGGGGGGTTGGCTGCGCTGCAGTCCCTCCTCTTGGGAGTTTGGGCACACATGCAAATGTGCTCAGTGTGAGTTTTAAGCTGCCGGGTCCGGGACGTGAACCGCGGTCAACTACATGGGAGTCCAGTGATGTGACCGTTACGCCCTCTGCTGGCCCCTGTGTAATTGTACGTGCCTCGTGGTTTAAACAGCAGTCAGCCTTCCCCTACTTACTTGGGCAGTGCGTGCCAAACTTGGGAGGAGTCGCACGCGGTCTCCCAGCAGGTCCATGGCCCGCAGGACGTCTGGCACCTCGGAGCCTCAGTGTCGGCACCCCAGGGCCTCTTTCCTTTCCAGCCCTGGGGGAGCTGGGAGAAGCCGAGCTCACACAGGAGGAGTGCAGGCTCTGGCTGCCTCGCCTTGGTCCCCCCTGCCCCTTCCGCTGAGGCCAGAGCGGCCGCAGCCCTGGATGTGCTCTCACCTGAGAGGCGTGACTCGGGGCCTGAGTCCCCACGGCTGAGCTGCTGCTCCTTTGCCATGCCACGAGCGTGTCTCCATTCTCCCGGGGTCTTGGGCACGCGCACACACGCACCCTGAGTGATTTTCAAGCCACCAGGTCTGTGACTTCCATCGTGGTCAGCCAAGTGGGAATCCAGTGCTTAGCCCCACGCCGCCTGCCGGCCCCAGGGTGACTAAGTCTCAGCCACGCTCCAAACCCACGAAGCACATCCCTGGAGTGTCGCCGGGCCACAGGCAGCCGTGGTTTTTCAGCCTTCTCGAGAGAGAATTGACATGCCCGCCTCCCCCCTTTCTCCAGGCGAGGTCTGTTGAAGGGAGGCCTTTGGAAGGGTATTGATTCCCAGAGGTACCTTGTAGGAAGGGACTTGAGAATCCAGGCTGCGGAGCATGCGGAAGGGACAGAGAAAGCGGTTGCACTCGGCCCTAAAGTGGGCCCCAAGCAGGCAGCTCCGCACCTTTTCTTTTTGGCTATAGGGCTCGTGCGCTCACCAGAAAGACAGAGAGCAAGAAATCACCCCAGGGGGATGGCCACGCCGCAGTCCCTTCTCCATTCTCCTCTTGGGATCTTGGGCACGCACGCACACTCACCTGGTGTGAGTTTAAGCCACTGGGTCCGGGATTCAAACCGCGGTCGACTACGTGGAAGTAGCCTTTACGCCCACTGCTGGCCCCTTCAGCACCCTCTAGTCTAGAGACGCCCCGGGCCCGGGCTGCGCTGTCTGCCCCCTCCCCTATACTGGGCCCCTCAGCATGTGCCCTGAGCTGCGCTGACGTGGCTTTGGCTGCTGTTGGTGGGGACCATGTGCTGAAGGTGGATGAGGAGCATCGCATGGTCCGTGGCTGGTGACGGGACCGTCGCCCAGGGCGCTGCCTCCTCCTCCCCCTTCACTCCCGGAGTTGTGCCTCACAAAGGTCAGCTAGACGGACCCTGTGGACACCCGTGCTCACAGCACACGCAGGGGCAGCTGTGCGTGACAGCCCGCTCGCACGGCCTGACGTCCTGTCTATTCCTGCAGATCGTGGGCTGCCAGGTGGCGAGAGACCCCCCGGACTCCACGGAACGGTACACACGCTGGATCAACCGACTGACGTCCGACCAGCTCCTGACCCAGGTACGCTGCCCGCACCGCCGCTTCTGCTCGGACGTGCACCCTAGTTGAGCGCAGCTGCTCCACGTTCCGACCCAGGAACCTCTGTGGTGTGACAGCCACCAGACGGGCGCCCAGAGACCCCGCAGCGGGCCCTCAGACGCCACATCCTGAGACCCGGACGCTCCACGCAGTCGGGCCGACAGGCCAGTGTGAGCGGGCAGCGCAGCCCAGGGCCAGACGGGAGGCCAGGTGTGGGTGTGACCTGCTGCTGCCACCTCGGGTTGCAGGATGGTGTGGACGCAGTCAGGGCAGGCCTGTGGCCGCGCTCAGGAAGGGGGCGGTGTGTCAGGACAGGCCTGCGCGCACGGGAGGCGGCGGTGTGTCAGGATGCCCGTGTGCACGGTAGGCGGTGGCGGAGTGTCAGGATGCCCACATGCATGGGAGGCAACAGAGGTATGTCAGGACGGGCCAACATGCACGGGAGGCGGCAGCAGTGTGTCAGGACACCCGTGTGTGCGGGAGGCGGCAGAGTGTCAGGATGGGCCTGCGTGCATGGGGGTGGAGGCGTGTGTCAGGATGGCCCGTGTGCACGGGGGGCGCAGAGTGTCGGGATGCCCGCATGCACGGGTGGTGCTGTGAGCCACACCTGCTGCCGTCTCTGCTCTGGCGCTGGCTCGGATGTGGCGGTGACTCCTAGTACACGCGTGGAGATGGTGGAGCAGGCTCTCGGGCCGGCGTTGCCCCTTGGCCTGTGCCGGCCACTTTCCTCCAGCTTCGGGGAGCCTCTGACTGAGGGGCCGAGCACATGGGCTCCAGGGCAGCCCGGGACCGTGGGGGGCTGCTTCCACCGAGAGCCCTTCTCAGGGAGGCCGTGGTAGCCGACTACCCCCAGTGGCTCAGGATCGCTCTGTGGGTGCAATCTCGTGCCCACAGGAAATGTGGTTTCATTTTGGTGTTTTCAGTTAAGAAAAGTGAACGCGCCTTTATCGGTCAGCTGCGCCTGCTTTAACCGGCTGGGCTATTGTATCTGTGAATGTTACGTTTGACCGTGTTGTAGAGTCCAAGTGTGTAAGCACCGAGGAGAGTGTCTCAGAACCCACCTCTGTCCTCTCAGGCCCCTGTGTGGACACACACCTGTCTGCTAGAGGGGCCCTGAAGAGGCCCTGTCCTTCCCCTGTCCCCGCTTCCTGTTCCTGGCTCTGTAGATGGTCCACGTTTTCTGGGACTTCATATCAACGGAGCCCCACCCAAGGACGTCCACGTTGACACTAAGATGCTGCCGTGGCCAGCCCTGGCACCGAGACATGACTGCACGTCCCTCAGGCCCCCTCACGGCCTGGTAAGCAGGACCGGAAGGGTACGACGTCGTCCTGTGGGAGCTTCCGTGGGGTCTGTGGCGAGAGTGTGTGCACCTTACAGACTCGCAGCAGGCGCGTGGCCTGCGAGGAGGTGGAGCAGGCCCCTGGGAGCAGAGCTGCCTGGATGGGAAGGGGTACTGCCTCCTCCATACCCGGCCCTGAGGCAGACGCTGTTCTACACGGCAGGCCAGCGGCAACAGGATTCTATGCCTCCAGACTTTTGAGCTGCCCCTGGCTGGTCAGTGCCTTTCCAGAGCTTGTACCTGTCCGGGGACGGAGGGGACAGTACTACGGTGCGTGAGCTCCCTCTGGGACGGAGGGGACAGTGCCGCGGTGCGTGAGCTCCCTCTGGGGGCAGCTCCTTTGTAATCTGGGATTGCAGGCCCAGGACAGTCCCCCAGGTGCTGCACCGTGTCCCCTCTGCAGGTGGCAGCTGCCCTCGGCCCTCTCTCTGTTGGGGCCTCTCTGGGGAGTCACCGCTGGTTCCATATCAGTGACTATTTGAAATTCAAGACCCATTTTCTGTGTGTGTATAGGATAGAACCCCCCCATTCAAGCACGAGGATTGAAAAGATGTCTGAGGGACCACCAGGGGGTATAGCGGTTAACACACTGGACTCCCACATGGTTGACCTCGGTTCAAGTCCCAGACCTGGCAGGTTGAAACTCATACCAGACGCATGTGCGCGCATGCCCAAAATCCCAAGAGGAGAGTGGAAGAGCAGGGACTGTGGTGTGGCCAACCCCCAGGGGTTCATTTCTTGCTTTCTCTCTCTCCGGTGAGTGCACACACTCTACAGAAAAAAAAAATCTTTCAAAAAGTGTGAAATCCACGCAGGGTATTCTGTAGTGCACAGGTCTGTGGACGCTGGAAGATCCCTCCAGCCCCTGTCAGGTGGTGCTTAGGTCTGGACACCACAGTTTACGGCGTTTTATCTCGGGCATGCCAAGTGGCCTGCGGCGTGGCTGGCATGTACCTGCGTGCGCCCGTTAGTCATGACAGATGGGGGTCTCGTGGAAAGTGCAGAAGTTTTTGCACCAAAGGAGAGTCTGCTTTTACTCCGTTTTCTGTGAACCCTTTGAAGTTTCCCGTCTGCCTCCTTTGCACCCTTGGCCTGTTACTTGCTGAACTCTTCGTATTGTCATTGAATTTCAGGGTGGCATGGCCGAAGTCAAGGTGGAGACCACCTGCTGGGTGTTCCTCCCGCACTCCGTGTGGTCTGGCCGGGGCTGGCCCTGCCTGTGCTCGGTGCTCAGCCGGCACAGCTCTGACCACCCCTGTACCCGGCCCAGCGCCTGGCTCTAGGCAGCAGCAGCAGAGGCGTGCTCTGCTCCTATCGCTTGGGAGGTTCCTGACGGTTCGCGGGGTGCATCTGCAGTCCCCCGCCCGAGGGAGAGACTGTCAGAGCCTGGCCACACCCACCTTTCAGCTGGCATCTGCTGTGGAGAATGTTATTTTTAAAATTGTTTTGGGCTATTTAATTTCTTCATCTTTCTGTATACCTTAGAGTCAGCTTGCTGTATCTGTAAAGAACCCTGGGCTGGTACGAAGTGTGTGAAACTTACAAGTCAGGGGCCAGCAGTTGGCATAATGGCCACATCACCGGACTCCCATGTAGTCGACCGTGGTTCGAGTCCCAGACCCAGTGGCTTCAACTTACGCCACCACATGTGTGTGCATCGCCAAGCTCCCC